GAGGTCCATTTCTTAAGTAAATAAGCATACACTGGGCCAGACCAGGTAAGTTAGTGAGAAGCTTTTCAATGAAGTTCAATTACAGCCTGATTTTTTTTTACTCAAAAAGATAATCTTTGACAACACTTGAGATTAGAAAAGTAAAAAGGTACTAACTTTAATTCTTTATAACGCTCACTTGTCTTTGAGCACAATGAGGGAAACCACTTCATCAGTTTCTGTTTAAGAAGTTTAACACAAAGGCCCATGACCAGCTGCTGACAGCCCATGCTAACACCTGTGCACAGGCATGCACAGCAGCCTAACACTGCTTAGAGAAGTTTGCAAATCAACAAGAAAAGTACTAGAAAAGGGAATGTGTTTATTTTAAACAGCTAAAAAGTAGGCTGAAGATCTGTATTCAAATCCAGTTCTGCCAGCTCCATGCAACAGAATACTAATCAAAAAATGCAGGTTCACAACTGTACAGAAATGATATCCATTGGTTGCAATCACCAATTTTCAAGACAATTGAACAGGAACACCATGACATACTGAAGCATTAACAAATGTACGAAGTTTATCAAGGAAAATTAAGTTAAAATGAGTAAAGTATCAGATTTGTACTACAGTACTCTTGCAGACAATAATTTCCTAAAAACAGAAAACAGAGCCTCTCCCACCACACCAGGGCAAGGGAAAAATATTTATTTGTTTAACTGATAGATGTTTAACAGCTGATTCACATTAGCTCCTGCAACACAGTTTCATTTCGGAGCTAAATGAACACCACAAGTGAGGCATATTTTAAGCTTCCTTTCACAAACCCCACTGAGGCTCCTTGGAATACGGGTGACTGAACCAGACTCCCCCTGGAGCTCAGCAGTTCTTCTCCTTAACTGACCTAGACAACTGTTTTTTAACAATACATGATGCACTCCCTCCTCACCAAAGGCTTGCTTTCCATGTTTAGCTTTTCATGTTTTTCATCAGCTTTGTCATCAGCACCTCTGACTCAAAGCCTCAAGCATCAGCCTCCTGCACAGTGGCACAGATGGAACTGAAGCCTTACAGGCCATCTCATCACTCCTTGACTTGGAGTCCAAATACAAGCAGATTCCTGTTTAAAAAGGCAATAGCTCTCATTATGCTGAGCTCCTAGGTTTGATTGCAGAATGGCAGTAAAATCCCTTTGTGAATGAAGACTCTTTCCAGCTAACACCTGTGTGGGACCTCTGACAATCTTGCCAGCTGACGTGTTTGAAAAGCACGTTCTTCTGCGTGTCATAACGGGTAAGGGAAAACCAAACCAAAACAAAACCCATCCCACCCCCCTCCTTCCCCAGCAACCCGAGGCATGCTTATTCTTTGAACTGGAGAGCAGCTGAGCTGACATGTGGCTCACTTGCCAGGTTCTGAAACTGCAGTGCTGGGCAACTCTAGGATTTTGATATTCAAACTCTGTATTTGTGCCGCCAACATTTAACCTCACATTCCAGGGCGGGGCTGGGCTCAGAGCCTGGGACATTCCAAAAAGCATTCCAGCCAGCAAGGCCCTGGAGGTAGACCCTCAGTGAGTGCATCCACACTAGAGGCTGGTAAAAATATCTCTGCATTCCCATTCACGTTTCTAGTAAGCAGAATACAGGGAGGACAAGTTACAGTTCTCCCCACACCCATGGACAACATGGCAGGTATCATTACAAATACTCTCTGTAGCATCATTATCAAGTAAAAAAATACAAATGCTCTTTTGTTGGCTGATGGTACCCCTGGGACAAAAACCCCTCCAGTTGCTTCACAGAGTTCCATAGGATTAACTGTGAAACATTTTCACTAAGCAAATACTTAAAATAGAGAACAGCTCTCATCAGTATTGACCAAGTATTATATTCACAGAACATTAAAATTAAAAAAAAATTTCTGAAAAGTGAAGTTAAATATCCTGCAAACCAGCTGCGGTCGCAATTGCCACCCTATGCAAGAATGCTGAAGTGCAATGGCTGGATTGGTAAATACTGCAGAAGACAGTGGATTTTTGTGCCAACAGTAAAAATACCTGCCACCTTCTGTTTCTGGAAGGTACAGCAGGGAAGAGAAACAGTGCAGAAACTCACAGACAGTAACCAGTTGCTCTTTAAAAGCAATCTGAATGTAAGGATTTCTAGGAGGAAAGCACTGATCACTGAATAATTACTTTCCCACCAGTGCTGAGAAGGAAACACACATGATAAATAGAGTTATCCTATCTGCAGAACTGGTTAGGATGAATTGAACGATCAAAGTTGTCACACTTTAGTTGTAACAGAATTACAAGGAATGAAAGTATGTAACAGAAAGTCATTAAACCAAAACATTCCGGCAAGCACATAGATATATATATATATATACATTTCTTTGGTTCTTCCTGAAACTGATCAAAGGTGTAGAATGTTACATTTTCTAGCCATTTGCCAGAATTACAGCCCTTCTATATTTAGCATTAAAAGTTCATTCCAACAGAGTGACTCCTCACTCTGATTTTCACAGGCTCTGTTTGGCCTATCCATAGATACAGGACAGACAACCCCATCAGTGTGTACTACCACTGCAGACAGCTAAGAGAAGTGTAACATTGGCAGCCATGTAATAATTTCAGGAAGGATTTGACAACACGAGGTTATTAGAAAACAGAAACATCCCCCTGCAAGCACCCATTTGATTTGATAAATACACTTTGTAGGCAAGTATTAACACAGAATTTGTTTCACTCATAGCAAACTATGCAGCCAATTTTATCCAACTCTCTCCATCAACCAAGCCAAGGCACACATTCTGTAATATAGCAGTAAAGCACCTTCAGGCTGGTATTCATTAACCTGTGTTAAGGTATCTATCTTTGACTACATTTGAAGACTAGAACCCCAGATTTACACCTCCTCAAGCAGCACTAGAACACCAAGCTCTCACCACAAACCTGTGCTCTGGATTGCAGGGAGGCACTGGCTGGAAGGAAGCAATATGCAAAGTCTGCACAGGCTGTACCTCACTAAGGAGGCAGGAGGAGGCACATTCACACCACATGACAAAATAGCAGAAATAACACCCCCAAGGTACTAATACTGTTATGAAGGCCTTGGCTTCTAAATTCAATGATCCTATCTCACTTCTGTAAGAAGTTCAAGTCAGTAGGGACACACTTTCTCCTGAGTAATTTTTTGGGGTTTTCTGGGTCAAAAGAGAAATAACATGCTTCTCATGACTGACTTATCTCTGAACTCATCCCAATCCACTGGAACTTCCAGTGATCCACAGTAACTGCTGCCATACAAGTCCACCCTGTACTTAGGCACCACCACCTGTATTACCCAAAGATTCAATTTTCCTTTTAGACAGACAATGATTACAAGACTAGGCCAGATCCTTCTGTGTGGCAGGACTAGAGGCAATGGGCACAAATTGAAATACAGGATATTCCATGTAGAAGAAGGAAAAAAAACCCACTTTTGCTTACCTTAAGGCTGCTCAAACACTGGAATGGGTTGCCAAAAAAGGTTGTGGAGTCTCAATCCTTGAAGATGTGCAAAACCCAGTTAGACACAGTCCTGAGAAACCTGCCCTAGTTCAGCCTGCTTTGAGCATGGGGTTTGGATCACAGTCTCCAGAGATCCTTTCCACACTCAAACATTCCATGATTCTATCACATTAGACACTGCAAATCACACTGGGAGCAGGACCTAAAAATGACTTTTTCTTTATTATTGTGGTTTCAAATAGTTCTGAGAAAAGATAGAATTTATAATAGGAAAAGGGTTGCTTCTGAAATTTCTGATTAATACTGCAAATTTTTAGTGCTTCATAGTAAAATTGTAGCACTAAAATAATATCTAATGTAAACATACTAAAGTGTGTTTACTGTAATGTACAAATTGAACAAGAAAAACTTCCTTCTTCCTAGACTGTATAGATTTACTGAAAATTAATCTAAACAGCAGACATTTGAACTTCATAACCCTGAATATTATCTGATGAGATATTGTTCTTCCTTTTTAAAAGAATGGTTTCATTTGGCACTACTACTTAAGGAAAAGAATAGAATTTTTAAATAGAAAGATTCTTTATGAATTACAACCAAATGAATTATATCTTATACATTCTTTATGCAAAGTACTTTAGAGATCATGGCATGATACAGCCCCATCAATTTGTTTTCAGACCAGAACTGATAATCTCAAGATCCCTCACACTGTTGAGGGAAACTAAGCCACTGTTTCAATAAACTGTTAACAAGAGATATCTCTGAATTCTTTTGGCATTCTTTTGAGGATTCAGAACTCTAGTTTGAATCAGACAAGCTCAGCTGAGTTGCCAAGAATTAGACAGGGTCTGTATCCTCTCCTGGCATATAGTATTTACTTACAGTTTAATAGGAAGTTGTGATGATGGAAAACAAAGAAGAGAACATGGGCCTTTGATCAAGACCCCTGTATCACCAACAGCTGATTACTGAGACAAACAAGGTCACATTTCAAGAACATACAAGGCCGTATTTGGATGTCCATTACTTGTAGACATTTATGAGGACTTTCAAGTTCAAAAGACAAAAAGGACAAAGTCAGTGCTACCAGGCTTGGCTCCAGTTCCTTACTGGAAAGACACAATTGTTAACACCTAAGACCAGGAAAGGACAGTTAATTCTACTGCCATATTTCTGAAGGTAAAAGGTAGTAGAAGTTATCACAGAAGAATGTTATTTTAATGCTTGTCTTAAAAATTGTAAGTCCTTCTTTCTGAAAAAAAAACTTTTTCTTGATACATGAGGGGTGTAAACAAAGCTTGCAAAATATGCAAAAATCTCAATTGACAGAACCATGTCTACTTTTCTACTAATTATTTTCCTACATTGATTTTTCTGATTTGCTACACAGTTCCAACACACAGTTACATTCCTCTGTTTGTGGATGATATATTAATACATCTCTTACCTGCACACTGTAGACTTATTAAAAATAGAAAAACAAGTAATGAAATCAATGACAAAATTGCTTTGAAAATACCTGATATTTAAAAAAGTTTATTATTGGGTTTACCTTCTCCATGTTCTTTAAAATCAAGCTCCTAATTATCATCTGAAAGGCACCATAGGGACAGTGAGTGGCAAACAGTAAACATCTCAGTGGCATTTTTCACAACTGGGAAATTTATCTGTCTCTGAGAGAATCCAAATGAAATATGAACAGCAAGATATACAAACAGGAGCTCATTTGTAGCTGCATAGACATGAAACCTCTAATTTCCATTAATTCCATGCTATCGTGGCATCTTCGGCACGTTTGTGTCAGAAGTGTCTTCAATAAAATTAGCTTTTTTATGGGAAGGCTCAGCAAGGTCCTCTCCATGGTCTCTGCTAATCAAGGGCTCCTGGTCCCCTCTCTTGCGTTTGTTAATCAGGTGATTTTCTCCCTCACAGAGCTTTCCCTCTGGGACACCCAACGTTCTCAGACAGACAATAGCTGCAGCCTGCTCTGCCAGCTTCTTGGACTTGTCCCTGAAGAGCAAGCACACAGAGCACACGTGAAAGTAGAAACTGAGGTCTCCACACTGCCAAGAGACAATTTCCTGTCTCTGATGCAACATCATGAAACAAACAGCATTTGTAGTCATCTCACAGCAGAAAAACAAACCAGGTCACTTCCAGAAATTATTTCAATCTTGCTAGATGTCAAGTGTTGATGCATCACTCCTGATGCAATATTCCTAGAAAATCTGTCTCTATCAGGGCTTGTCTCTTGAACACTCTCCATGTCAAAGGTACACAGCCAATGTGTGTTTGGCCCACAGAAAGGTAACTTTTACAAATCTGATCACTAAACAAAACTGAGTTATGAAGGATCACTTTTCTTGAAAGAGGCTCAGGCATCAGTATACTCTGTCAGCTGCACAAGTTCATTGATGCTGACAAAAGCAGGAAGTCTTCTGTAATAATAAAAATTCTGTCATTTCTGAGAAAGACTGCCCATCACACATTTGTGGAAGTCAGTATTCAAAAACATTTTCTTCTCAAAATTTCATATCAGCTGAGCATAACTTCCTAAAGTCTCTGAACTGGAAGGCTGCAAAGCAGTTGTGTGCACTTGTCCTGTTTAAATGTTCAATGCTGAGCTCTAGCTTTGCAGTTAAATCAAGATCACCTTAGGTGCAAATGCCTCAAATCAACTCTGGTATTAATAGATGATTGTATAAAATACCATCAAGAAACTTTAGAGCAGGCCTGGATGGAGCTGCTAATTAACTGTGATCTCCAAGAACTCAGTGCACTGTCCTCTGCTCCATGGATACAGACACTTAGTCCTGACCTCTTACTGGGAATGGATCTGCTGCAGTGGCTGAAGACATAACCTCCTCCAACATTCCCCTCTGCCTCCCTTGGCTCCTCTCTGCACTCATCACACACAGAATGGAACTGGGTCACCTATTTGCTCCCCTTCCAATACAGCTTGTGGACTAACACAAAGTGAATTCAATTCTGTAACAGTTTACTTGATTATGCCAGTGCTTACTTCCTCTTGTCACAGTCAATTCTCAGAAGTTTTTAATCCTTTCTCCCTCCTAGAAGTAGCTTTAGGAGGTAGCTTGCAGCTGACCTTTATCAAAGCCAACTGGAATAAACTGGAATATCCTTTTAATGCAAGTTTTTAAGCAACATTTCAGAAACAAAAATCCAGCTGAAAAACCCATTAAGGATGGCTTACCACAGAGTTGATCGGTATTTTTGCTCAGCTACTGTCACTACTGAACAGAATAATCTATCCAGTGGTCTTTGAACCTGTAGACAAAGAGAATTAAAAGGGAAGGGGCTGTCAAAAACCAATCATGTAATTTACAGAAGAAACAACATCATCAACATTCCTTCACAGGTATAAAGAAAAGAATAACAAGTAACATAACTTTAAAATTACTCTAATTCACACCACAAATTTCACCATACATATTCAAAATAAAGAAAAACCAGCAAACTGTCCAAACTAAAAATATTTTCCCTTTATAAAAATAAAAAGTAATCAAATAATGTCCCCATGTAACCAAGCAGGTGCTCCTGTCCCATACAGTCCCTATCTGTAACAGTGTGCAACAGAGACAACATCCCAAGATTTAATTCTTTGCTTCACAGAAGCAGTAAAAGAAAGTCAGTCATGGGCTCCTATATAATGACCAAGAAGTTACAGCAACTTCTTTCACAAACGAATCAAAGGCAGACTGAAGGGTCTGACTTTTAATTTTTTATTTTCTAATAAAATAAGCTGCTGTTGTCATACCTGTGTGCATTACCATTTCTGCAGCTGCTTTCTGAAAGAGCTACAGTAGACTGGAAAGCAGAATTTCTCCTACTTTGTGTCCTAAAATACTGAATTTCATATACAATGCAAAGGAAGAGGTTTGAAAGGGTTTTTCATTGACTCACAGTTTCATAAACAGGCTGAGGATGCTTTTCTTTCCTGCACCATTCCAAAAGATACATTTTTGGAGTGATCTGTGGTGGATATTCTCGTCTACACAGAAAAATTTGTAGTCAACAACTGTGCACAAAGTTCTATTTTAAAAAGACAGTGCTGCTTATTGTATTAGTTCTACCAGTTATTTGAAGTTTAATTTTACAGCTCAAATTATGAAAAAGATGCTTCTTCATTAGATGATAACTAAAGAAATAGGTGTGACAAAACATGTAAAATAAACTCTAAAGTTTTCCCGAACATTTATTTCCTGTAGTAGCACAGCTAGAGAAGAGATACTCACCAGAAAGGAGATTCTAACTAAATAGGTGACACAGAAGAGAGATACAGTTTGGTTGGTACTGCTTATTATAAGCACCAATTAAAAACTAGTAGAAAAAAGGAGAAGCTGCTTCTGTTATGAAGCAGTAATCAAATGAAAAAAGCATAAAAAATGCAGGAATTTAGTCAGATATTGACAAAGAATTACAAACCCTCATACATGGCCAAATAACCCCCCAAAAAATCTGTATTCAATTCTCAAGGAGTCAGGTAATATATCCTCTAAATATTAAAGCAATATGACTGCATTTCTAGAGGATTTGACATATGATACTCTTCTTGAGCTGTTTGATAGGCCTATTAGCAAAACCAGCAAACATGAGTTTAACATGGAAAGTAACAGCAATTCTATAGGCCTCAGAGATTATAAATAAAAATTATATAAAACAGATTCAACTACGTGACTTAATTTTTCAAGGAATAGCTTATCAGTGGAACACATTAAGAAGACTTCAGATGAGCATCTTCTCTGCTTAGAAGAGTGTCAAGAAGTTTGTTCAGGACTTCTTATAGAAAAATTATGTTTTAGTCAAGATTCACTAAAAATAACTGAACTCTACATCTTTGTAATACACTTTTCTACATAGAGATGTTATTTTTTAAGGTTTTTTTTAGAGCACTCAGCACTTTCAACAACTTAAGTGAGAAAATTAAGCAGTCCCAGGAAGCCTGGAACTAAAGAACATCCCACAACATCCAAAGAGCACAGGAAAAGTCATGCTTATGCCATGATGTTCACTTACTGCTTCATAGGAATTCACCCAGTAAGTGCTGTTTTGCAAATCATCATTTTCAAAAAACTGTTAAGACACTGTGAACCTCACAGTTATTATTCAGAGATGCAAGATAGTGAAAAACTTGATTTGTATGCTTACTTGTCAAATCTAACAGCCATTTTTATTACATCTGGATCTTCCATTTGGTCATCCTCATCTTGCACCTTGGTTACTAAAGATGTTTTCTTTGCTTCAAAAATAGCTGTGGTTTCTTCATAGAAGTCACCCATTTCAAAGGCTTCACTATTCAAACAGAATTCCTTTATGTCAGAAATCAGTTTATAAATTTTGTATCACATTATGACAGAGAAAGAAAATGTAAAAATCAATTGTGTTTACAGTATAGTTAAGAGTACAGAGAATGAAGTGGAAGTGTGGCTGTATTCTGCACAGTGACATTACATTGCTGCTACAAGTAAGAAAAGGGTGTTCTAATTTCCAGCACTACATATGTAATTTATAGCCTGGAAGTGAAGGAAGAATCAGTCAGAAATACAGATCCTGCAGTGTTCAAGTTATTAGTTCATTTAATAATTTGCAGTTGGATGAATCAGCAAACAAACACAGTGACTCCTGGTACACCAGCTCCACAATACAAGCAAAAAGTAGGAAAAAGAATATTTTTCTAATTATAGTGATTAAAAATACTCTAAGCAATAAACCCTATAGCATCCAAACCCCTCAAAATCTCAGATTTTCTGACTTCATAGTATTATTCACAAGCCCAAATAAAGAGAAGAAGCAACCATGATTTTAGTCAAAGGCAAAAGCCTCAAACCCTTTTAAATTTCAAACTCAAGTCAGGCTGGATCTACTTTGAAAAACTGAGACTATTGATTTTTTGCAGATGATAATGGCAATAAAACCTGCAGCATCAAAGAAACTTTTACTTTCTGTTATGAAGATGCTGGTTGATACAGGGCTGCTCAATGACAAAATGGATTCTGCCCACAAAGCTCTCTCCAATGCTCCAAGCATAAAAGCAATGAAGCTGAACAATATTAACTTATGCTTCTAAGGGAAGGCAATTTATTACACACTGCTACATAAATGTTTTGTGGGAAGAACAGCAGGCTGTTCCCTTGCATTCAGCACTGAGGTTAAAGCTCAAATGGTTGTAACCCATCCTCACCACCAGGAGACAGCAGAATTATGCACTATAATCGTCTGAAGATAAACTGGTGCATTTTAAAAAACTGAATGTTCCTCAGTTATCTGGACATGAAACAGGTTGTTCAGAACAGGGGTTAAAAGACCAAGTTTGCTGGCAGAAAGCAGTTTCATAAATTTCCAAATGGCTCTCCCTGTCCCCCTCTCCTGCACACACATGGCCTTTTGAAGTTGGTATTGCATCACACGTACAAAAAGAGAGAGTTTGATTTTGGAAGCCCCTAAAGAATTGCTAGGCATAGCACATAAACCCCATAGTTTTACACTAGATCTCTATCCAGTGTTTATGTGTATGAACTGTGACACCTTTAATTACCTGTGTAAAACTGTTACTTCACAGTATTTATTTTGCATACTATGCATTGCTATTCATGCAGCAGAAAACACTACCACCCTCTGGGCTAAGACTTTATTGAAATTGCAAAAGATTTGAGTTCCAATCTATACTTTATCTTTTTTCCTAAACTCAAAATCTATACTCAAAATAGATAGTATGTTAGCATACTAAAACCCATTAAAATCTTAAAGTTGCCAAAGTGAAAAGTAACTTGCAAAGTTTAAATGTTGTTCATGTATTCCACTGCTCCTTTAAGAATAATGAAGTCTAGCTCCCTTCATATATGCAATGCAAACTCCCTTCACTGTACTTGAATGTAAAATCATGGACAGAATTATTTCTAGAAAGCCAAAATTGGTAAAAGGCAATAAAATGGCAAAAGGATTGCAGGCATTTCCTTTTGAACATGAAAAGAATGCTGATTAGAGTTTGTTAGAAACCAAGACATTTTTTTTTCAAAATAACTCAAGCTTTCAACATTTCTATCCATTTTCATATACATTAGATATCAAACAATTTCAGACTGTTCATTTTATAAAAATCAAGGAGACCCCTCCCTTCTATCAGAAGCCACACAACATGGATATGACACATGCAAGCTCAGAGCTTTATTTTGTTCAGTTTGAGATGTGTCCAAATCTGAATTCCCCTAATTCTGTGCAAATTCTTTATTCATCTGCCTATTTTATGGTTTCTCTCAAAATTTTTGCTCTTTCATTTCTGTCTCTCCCCCTGAGAAATTTCATCCAGTCTGTTTCAGATATGCAGGATGATAAGATTCTTTAAAGTTACTATATTTCCTCAAAAAGGCTGCCATCATTCATTAATGTATACCAGGAATGAAAAGCAGCACAAAAAATGACATTAAAGTACCACATAACCAGACAACCCTGATATAAGCTTTTAAGTTTCTAAGTGCTCATTTTAAAACAAATATGTAATAAATATTCCAGTAACATTATAAACCTCACATGCAAGTGGGAAAGCTAAATCAAATCTTTGGAAGAAGACAAGTTCCACAAAATTTCAGACAAGCTGAACTTTTTCTTAATCACTTCATGTAAATACTTGACAAATGCTTGTCACTCAGTGCAGCACCACTCAAATTAGTATGCTGAATATAGAGAGTTTTAAAGATTTAATATCTGAGCATGGAGGAAACCTGAAAAAATTTACTCTGATATTGCACATCTCCCATATGGATTTTTTTGGGGGGTTATTTTTGGGGTTTTTGCATCTTCTCCTGACAGTGTGAAATGCCAGGCAGTGCTAAATAGAGAAGTGATGTGCAAGTTTGACAGAGTACAACTCCTTTTCTGAAGTCCAGATGCTTACCAGATCTCCTGTGTGGACTGTGCAGCGTGCAGCTTCTTACCCTGAGTAGTTTCCAGCTGTTCTCTTAACATCTGACACAAGCAGTATTTAGTGTTGGTGTAGTGATTGTCATACCTCACTGCCTGATGGAGAGAGACAAAGAATTCAAAACCACACCAAACAAATTTATCTTCTATACTGCACATGGTGTCTTGATGACTTCCACAATCATTTTTGAAAGGCAAACCACCGTGCAGTTTCCTCAGTAACAAATTCAACACTAGCCATGAATGTGACTATAGTCTGATTATTTTGGCATGACTTCACCAACTAAAGTTCAACTGACTCATATACTTCTGAAGAAAGAGTTGACCTGTTCACACCACTGACTAGAAATGCACTGATATTTTAGTAAGTAAATTGTTAATAGCAAGCTCAAATAAAAAAAAAAAAAAGAATTTGAATTGATGACATGATCAAAGTTACAGATCTCTGACTAATTTCCCAGGATGTCATTAAAATATTGTCTTTTGAATAATGGATAAAACTTTATATATTAGATGACTTAGCTAATGGAGCTACAGAACTACAATACAGCATTACTTTATTGGCAAATCATTCCCTTTGCTTCCCTACTGCAAATATTTCTGGACAGTATGCGTGAAAAGTAATTAATTTCTAAAAGTGCATCTAGGAGCAACTGATTTTTTAATACTCCTTCACCTTTCTGTTCAATATTGTAAATTTAATATTGTATACTGTATATAATAATCTGCTCAGTTTGTACAACTGTGACTTTGAAAGAATTGGACTACATATTTTTAGATTTCTTTACATTTTTAGATAGCCTGATAAGCCTCATAAATGTCCCCAAGAAACTAGGGCTAAAAAGCATGTTTTCTGAATACAGTTTTCTGAACTTTTTTTTTTCTGAACAAAATCAAACAGAGGAAGCAGGGATTGATTTGCAAGGATCATGTAACATGCAGTATGTTAAAATATCCCCAGAACCAAGTCTTTGAAGAGGAGTTAAGATACTGCAGTAGGACTTGAATTAACAATTCTAAACAATGTTAATTACAAGTAAGATCTTCATAAAAACATACATATTTGATGTAATCTTGCATGACATCCTTCAAGGGGCAAAACCCCTCTTTTCTGAAGACAGAGGGGTTCCACATGGCAGCACGAGCAATCATGACTGATGAGGCAGCTGTTGCTTGCTGGAAGGTCTCAATGTCTGCATATTCCTTAATGAAGTCATGAGATCCTCCACTAAAAATTAACAACACTAATATAATTAATCATGGTTCTTTTTCCTGCACTTGGAAATCTTAAGTACAAGCATCTGACCAGAATGAGCTAATTAGTCCAACTTACTTTGCTATTACTGGAATGGAGACAGCTTCAGATATGGCCTTGATCACATCACAGTGGACAGGGTGCTGAGGCCTCTCCTCCTTCTTCCTTTGCAACAAACAAAAAAAAAGAAAAAGACAAGACCAAAGATTTCCTGTGGAATTTATCTCTAAACCACAGCAGACATGACACAAGGATTATTGGGATATACTTGTTTCAACTTATTTATTTTATATTTTTGATTTTTAAATACAAAGTATGCAAGATAATTTTAGTCTTATTTGGTCTTCGAGAAAAAATATTTAGGAAAAGAGCAGCAAGCAGTTTAATTCCATAATTACTGACTTGATTTCCTAGAACACCAATTCAGTTAACAGTTGAAATCAGAACCACATATTGCTTTTAGAGTATAGATTATACTCATATCAGTCATATCATACTGTGGTACAGTCATCAAACTAAAAAAATCTAAGTCTTTCTTGCCTAAAATCAATTTACCTTCCATGGACTGCAATGGCAGCAATGCCAGTTTTCTCTATTCTCCTCACCAGGTTCACAGTATCCTCCACCTGAGGGATAAGACAGTCTGACATGATTTTAATTCAAAGCAAAAGGAATAACTATCATGTGACCATTGTACAAACAAATGCTGAAGTCTTCTTTAATCAAGAGGGATAGGATTCTTGTCTTTCATCAACAGCATAACATGTACAACCATTTAATATATACTTCAATTAAAGAACTACATGCTATGGCCAAAAAAAAAATACATTTTCAATGCTTCCTTGAACCTACAAATCTCAAACCAGGTAACATAATACTCTGTAGCAGGAGAATATTTTCCAAAGGTTTTCAGACTGTCAATTGAAAATGACTGGAACATTTGATTAGCACATCCTCTCTAATGACTACTCTGTAAATTGTAATTGAAATGCTTTTCAATAAGAGGATGCCTTCTGAAATCAACCTAACATGCAATCACACAACTATAAATATTCCTCTCAGACGTGTCTTAAAAATGTTAACCAGCATCTAAAAAATTCTAAGGATATTCATACATGCCCAGTACCTTCAAAGAGGTAAAATTCTCTTAAAAAGCAGAAATAAAATTGACACACTGCTGCACTAGCCTGTCTTATGCATCTTTAGGGAAAGGGAGAATGAAAAAAGGGTGAATTTTCCTTTCAAAAACTGGAGGAATATCTGTGCCTCATCCCAAACATATCAGATTCAGTCTGAAAACTGCAACATGTGCCAGCTGGCAGGGATGCAGAGACAGAAGCTCACCTGCTGCTCTGATGGATGACATTATGCAAAACAAGATTGAAACAAAAAAGAAGAGGCTGTAAGAGAAAGGTGCCAGTTCTATAATTTAATACTTCAGAACCAAAATGATCTGAGTACTGATTCTTTTCACTCAAGCTTCATTTGTTTATCCCAACACCTATATGACTTCTGAACAAAGCTGGCTCAGGTACAGTTCATCCATCTACTGATATATCTGTTTGGTCATATGCAATCATAGTATCTGGGAAGTAATTAAATACCCAATTGCTAAGTAATCAGTCTTTAAAAGAGAAGGCACATAATCTCTTGGAGGTTTAAAAGTATGTAGAGAATTCATCTTTAAAAAAACCCAGTAAGGAAGCTACATCAGCTGACATCAGCTGTAAAAAAAAAATCCTGAAAAGGACACACCCCATAATTTCATTGGCTGTTCTAACTGCAAGAACAGGAAAACAGTATGGAAAAAAAATTAGTCTGAAAGAACAGAAACCAATCACCTATTGCTACCCCATGTGAAAAACAGGAACTAACAGCATCTACTGGCTGCTCGAGGGTGCTTACAACCTTTTGTACCTCTATGACATAAAAAATGACTTAGTTGAGGAATTTAGAGGATAAAAGCCTCTGTGCCCTTGCCTAGCACAGAAACTGACAAGTCCACAGTTAGTCTCTGTGCACCTGCAGGTCAGATTTATGCTGGGACAGCATCCCAAACAGAAATTGTAAGTTCCAAGTGCTATTTCACAGCAACAGGCATACAGTGAGACATACTAGAACAAGATATAACTGATAGTAAACCAGAGCAATAACAGCTGAACACTTCAGCACAACAATTTATGCTCTTACTGAGGGCAAAATGCGGATTTTGCAGGTTACTGGTTTACAAATTCCTTTAACAAGGGTGGTCAATATCTGAAAAAAAGAGAGAAGGCAAAAATCTGATCACAACAGTGACATTACTGAAACTCTCCTCCTCTCTTGAAAGTAAGTTAGAATAATGTAACACTGTTTACTATTCCTCTATAAAGTCTTACATGCTAGACAGACATATACAATGTGTAACTGAATAATACAATTTTATCCAGTAGATACACAGGACTACTTATAGTCTAAGACATTTTTACTGCCACTTCTTTGTTGATTTGAACTGGATTTTTAGAGAGCAATTAACTGCTGCTGGAGTTTCAACACTGCTTTTAATATGGCGTGACCAGTGAACTCTGATTTCAAAAACATGAATAGACACATCAAACTAACAAATACTATACCACATTGAAAGTTTTTAAACTGAAAAAACCCCAAAAGTAGCAGCTTTATAGTCCAGATAATGGCAAGCAGAACTAAATCAGGAATATTTATCTAAAACCTTCACTCCAGTGTCCTTAACTGAGTATTCCACTCAAGCAATCACAAATTTGCTGTCTATGCAATTCATTTCTGCTGCCAGTAGAGCACAGTGCACAATTCTTCCCAAGGCAGCTCCAACCCCACCAGGAGATACTTACAGACTCTATTTTGTCAGGATCAGACAGCAGTGCTGCTCCCATACCTCCCTGCAAAACAGAGAGAAGCTGTTACCCACTAGGCAAACACATTTACAACTCAATTGTTTTGCCTAATAGCAGACCACAACAAAAGCACAAGGGAAAAATGTCAAAATGTAAAATTCAGGAGCATTACTGAACACCTTCATGCTACATTTCTTAGACCTGTATCAGAATAATTAAGCAGTAATTCAGGGCATCAACTTGCTCTCATCACTTTAGGGAGCAGACAGGATTTCAGAAAGCTATTTTTAGCAAACATAATCATCCATTTTCCATAACATAATTATGAACTATTTAATATTTTAGCTGTTCTTCCCACACTGTTTCATCTGCATACATAGATGAAGAGTCCAACAACATTTTTGAACCATTTTTTTTGACCCATAACTATTGCTGGAGAGTAACCATTCACCAACACTTATACTCCTGATCTTTCACCCTAGTACAAGATGGATATTTTGGTGTTTTGTTGTTAATTACGTTTCTGTGGAGCATTTGACATCAAAATGGAGTGCCATGGTTCAATTTATTGATCCTTTATCTCTACACCAAGTGGCTTAACAGTCCTAACAACCAGTTTGAATGCTCTGTTCTAGTCCCAGATACAGGACTAATTTAGAACTGCATTTGCTTTATTACAAAACAACAAACAAAAAAGGTTTTAAGTGATCCATTGTCCTTCCATTTAAAACTGACAAAGAACTGAATTTAGCATAGCTAAGCTGTGACTGCATTTTGCTAATCATTTGCTCAGATGACAAATTGCGATTTCAGTTTTTATTAAGGCTAGGCAGAAATTATTTCATTCACCCAACGAATTAATGACTTCAGAAAAATATTAAAAAATCCTAAACACTTCATTTTATCTAGCCTTTAAGAACTGTATTTTCTAACAGCCTATGTTATTTTACTGTATTAAGACCATGACACCTTCTAGAGTGTTCTGCTTACTACAAACAATTAAATTTAATTTTTCATCAAAATTTTACTGCTTGAATTTGAAAACCAGACCATGTATTCCACACTCCATACTGCCAAGACAGAAAAGACTCATTTAAGAGTAACCAAAATCCACTTGCCTTAGTAGAATATTCTTTTGGGCATCCCATGTTGATATCAATTCCAGCCACATCACTCTCTCTGAAAGAGAAGGGAAAATCAAAGTATTTTTTAGCATATTAGAACAAGAATCAAGAAAGAGATATCTTGCCAGGTAATTTGTTCCATCATCATAAAGGCTTAAATGAGAACTTAACGTAAATTTGAACTTCTGAGTTTTTAGCCCCTCACTTATTTAAGTTAAATATATAAATCTTAATGATGGTCTGAAGATCAGATTCTTCAAAGGTTTCAATAACCAGTGCTGTGCAGAAGCTGCAAATACTCATCTATAAATACCTTCTATACTTAATCACATATAAAGCATATCCACCACTAAATTAATGACAACACTAAGTCCTATTGAAACTTCCATCTATTTAAATGGAGGCTTAAACCCACCTTTTTAAGAGCCACTTTTGGTTTCTGCACAATACATTACTGGAGGCTTTAAACCACAAACAATAAGGGACATTTTCTGGTGTATTGGTCTTGCAGCTGTGCAATACCCAGGGAAATTCATACTGGAGAGATCAAGGACACACTTTCACTAACAAGAAGCCATCCCAGTACAGAACTTATGCAGCTGAACTTTTCCTGGTTCTATCAAGAGCTACCTTGATGCTCTCAATCATAAAAAACTGTCTTCTACAGTAACTCCTCTGTACAAAAAATCCCAGACAAACCCATGGTGGGAAGGAGGTGAGAGAAGATGACTTACACAAGCTTAGCTACTGCCAGTGCTCTTTCAGCATCTGCTGAACCCTGTTGGTAAAAGAAGAGGATTTACGATTACAATAAATTATCAAATTAACAAAAAACCAAGGTGCTTACTTGCACACGTGTACAACTATATTTGTTGTGAACATTTAATATAGACAGAGACCTACTGGATACTTAAAACATTTACCTACAGCCACTGGATGTTAAAAGGTGATACAAAAAAGGATCCAAAGAGGTCTGTCTGCCCTCTTCACCTACAGCAAAACCAAATGTTCTTAGCCCCTCAGCAACAGGTATCTATTTTAATGCTCTTAAGAAGCTCCCCTAATAACAATTCTACAGACTCTATAAGCAACTTATTTCAGGGCTATATTACCACTGAAAAAGGTCTTTTCAGTATCTAATGCAGTCCACTCATGCTTCCCCCTCCCTCCAAGCCCATCATTTCTTGTCCTACACAGAGTGGTCTCCAAGAGCAAATTACTGTATTTTTCTCTTCAGCACAGAGAATCTTTAATCCATTTTTGCAATGCCAATGCACACATTAATCCTCTCTTATCTATACTAAACAATGCTGCCTTGTTCAGTCTTTCCAGTGAGACTGTTCACAGGACAGTGCAAAACTTCAACGTGTGATCAGAGATCAGCACAATTTATGTCCACATCCGTAAGTTCAGAAATATCTAAGATACCTCCTACAAAACCAAAGTGCTGGAGAGCACAGAGGTTATCTTAATCACCTCTTCTGAAAACAGGTCTAAGGAGAACTTACAATGTAGAATCTTGATTTGTGCAAACAGCTCAGAAATTCTGCCACATCGTTGGTGTGAAACCACCTCATTTAACTGTGTTGTTAGAAGAATATCTGGTTTCTTACCATTTGGAAGACAACACGCTCTCTCTCCCTTTCACAAGTTCTGAAAACAACTCTGTCATTAGGTGCAACAAAGTCCACTGTTTCAAGTACTTCTGTATGAAATGAGAAGCAGATAAAACAGGCAAAAATTCTGTACAAATGTAAAAATTTTTTAAAAGTCATATGACCATGTAATTTGTATATAAATGAAATGCCATCAAAGTAATTTGATGTTCTTTGAAAAGTATCAAAGCCCAGTGATGACTCAGCCAGAATGAACAGCACTATTTTTGGGAAGGGGCAGGAGAAGAGAGGAGATATATAGTGAGCGTCTGTTTCCCAGCAGGGACACTGCAAACAACTTTTTCTTTGCCACTCAAACAAGGCAAGTCTCAAAGATACCTTTTTAAGAACTTGCAGTGACAATCATGTTATTCGAAGTCCAGGCCAAGTTAATAACTGAATGATAAACAGTGAGGTCTTGTATGTGGGTGTGTATATTATCATTACATTTAATGCTAACATTTAAAAAGACACATGATTGGAAACTGTCTCTACTGCATCCAAACAAACTGGAAGTTTGAAACTATAGAGCAGCAGACAGGTCTAAGGTAGCACTTGAGAAGCTTACTGTAAGCCCCTACACACAATTCAGTGAGATTGTATGTACTGATTCATCACTATAATCCCTAGAAAAATGCTTCAGAAAAATAATTACCCTTTCTCTTAACTAGAAAAGAGACTTACAGGTATTATCAAAAGAAATGCCATACTTACCATTTATAACCCTCTTACACTGCAGCATCTTTATGTCAATCAGCTCCTGAGTAGAAAGGATAAAAAAAATCTCAGTGAGTTAAATTGTTTCAGGTCCAAACAGTCACCCATTGTATTAAGTAATTATCTAGAGAGACCAGCTTCTTTGAGCAACCTCTCCCAGTACCTCAGCACCCTCTGGTTAAAAAACTTCTTACTAATCTAAAGCTCTCCTCTCTTTAGTCTAAAACTTTTCCCCCTGGTCCTATCACTATCTGTCCTTGTAAAATATTCTTTTCCCTCTTTTTTAAAAGCTGCCTTTAACTACTGGAAGGGCTCAATGAGGTCTCCTCAGAGCCTTCTCTTCTCCAGAGAGAACAATCCCAACTCTCTCAGCCTGTGTTTGGAGGAGAGGTGCTCCAGCACTCTGAGAGCACAGGTGCTCCACACACTGGCCTCTCTGGATCCACTCTAACAGGTCCACGTAGTTCTTATGCTGAGCACCCCACACCTCAATTTCAGGCAGCTTAAAAGAACTGTTTAAGAAACAAGGAGAGCAATGCTATGAGTGAGATACACGGATGTACAGCAGAACTAACCAGGTGAGACATGAAGTCAGTCTTCAAAGTTCCTTCAAATTTCTGACTCTATTGAAACAAAATAAAAAAAAAACCAAACAACCCAAAACCAAAAACCAACCTATCCCCCCAAACACAAATAAAAGTATAACTTGAGGAAACTGTTATGGTGTTTTGTCTAAATTACTTAAAGTTACTGAACAGACTTAAAATATGGATTTGCCATAACTTGAGAATGGCTCAGAGAAATTCCTCAAGACATAAAGATTCTTCTTTCCTCATTTTTAATGGAAAACGATGTGTAAAAAGAACAAATGATACAATGGAAAAAGTCCACTTGTAGTTTCCCTAATAAAGCTATCAGAAAAAGCCGCCTCATCTGCTCCTTCTCCATACCTCACAGTACACGATATCGGCACCATAGTCCAGAGCAAGCAGACGCATTGGCAGCGTCCCCACCCGCACCATTGGAGCCAGGATCTTCTTTCCTCTGAAGCACAGCGGCGTGTTCACCGTCATTCCTGTTGCTGCAGCACCTGAAAGAGAGAGCCCAGGGGGACTGACACGGAGTGCCATTTCCACCCGCAGGCACAGGCGTTCCTTTGCGGGGAAGGGGCGGTGGGTGCCCCGGAGCTGTGACAGGGCTGGCCGGGCAGCGGGGACCGGGCTCACCCGGCGTGAGGGCGCCGGGGATGCTCCCCGCCCTCGGGCTCCTCACCGAGCGAGGGGCCCCGCGCCGCCCCTGCCGGAGCCCCTCAGGGCCGCGGCCGCTCCCGCGGTGGCGGCGCGGGGAAAGCCCTCAGCCGGCGGCGGAAAAAGGGAAAGGAGGGAGCGGCAGCGCCCGCCGCACTCACCTCCTCGCGTGGCTCTGCCGCGGCTCCGCGGGGCGGGGAGAACCGGGGCCAGCGCCTGTTTCAGGCGTCATCGGGCAGCGCCACAGCCCCACGTGGGGCCGCGATGGCGCTCGGCAGGGCCGGGCCGGCGCTCGCCCTCCCGCTGCTGCTGCCGCGGCGGCCGGCGGGCAGGCGCGCAGCGCCGGCGGCGCGAGCAGGGGCAGGCGGCGCCGCCGCGCTCCGGGAAGCTGCTGCTGAGGAGCCGGCGGCCGGAGCTGAGCCAGCCCCGCTGGCAGACGGTGGGGCGCTGGGAGCAGCCGCCGCTGGTGTCGGCGGGCTGGAAGCACCGGAAGGCGTACGGGGATTACTTCCAGCTGGAGCCCTCGCAGCAGGCCGCTCCCGCTTTGCAGGCGCTGCCGGCTGAGGCGGGACAGGGCCCGACCTTCGCCGAGCTGGGGCTGCAGCCGGCGCTGCTGGCCGGCCTGGAGCGGCTCTCCATCAGCCGGCCCACGGCCGTGCAGCGTCTCGCCATCCCCGCGCTGCGCCGCGGCCGCAGCGCGCTGTGCGCCGCCGAGACGGGCAGCGGGAAGACTCTGGCGTACCTGCTGCCGCTGCTGGAGCGCCTGCTCGGCCGCCCGGAGGCGGCGGCGGCGGAGGCGCGCCGTGCTGCTGGGCACCCCCGGCGCGCTGCGGGAGGCGCTGCGGCGCCGCTTCCTGGCCCTGGAGAGGCTGCGCTGGATGGTGCTGGACGAGGCGGACTCGCTGATGGACGAGTCCTTCACGGAGCTGCTGGAGGAGATCCTGGCATACGCGCCGCTGGCCGCCGGCGCTCCCGGACCAGCCGGTCCCGACGAGGAGAGGATGCAGGTGGTGGTGGTCGGAGCCACCTTCCCCGCGGGGCTCAGCGAGACGCTGGCGAAGTTCACTGACGTGGACCGGTTTGTCACCCTCAGCACCCAGAGCCTGCACCGCCTGCCGCCTCACGTCCAGCAGAAGTTTGTCCGCCTCAAAGGCCGGGACAAGCTGCCCGAACTGCTGCAGCTGCTCAAGGAGCGCCCGGCATCTGGCGGGGCTGTTCTCATCTTCTGCAACAGTGCCAGCACCGTCAACTGGCTGGGCTATATCCTGGACGACCACAAAATCAAGCATCTGAGGCTGCAGGGGCAGATGTCAGCAGCTGCTAGAGCTGGCATCTTTGCCTCTTTCCAGAAGGGTGACGTGTCTGTCCTCGTCTGCACTGACCTTGCCTCGCGCGGGCTGGACACCAGCAGTGTGCAGCTGGTGGTCAACTATGACTTCCCAGACACCCTGCAGGACTACCTGCACCGGGCCGGGAGAGTTGGCCGGGTTGGGAGCAAGGCACCTGGAGCTGTGGTTAGTTTTGTCACCCATCGGTGGGACGTGGACCTGGTACGGAAAATAGAGACTGCAGCCCGGAAAAGGACGGGTCTCCCAGGAATGGACTCTATTAATAAACCTTCACCTAAAGGAGGTTGATTCAGGTTGGCAGGCATTCCTTGGTAGGAGCTTACCTTGAGGCCATTAAGGCAGAGTGAATGAGCTGCTGTATGTAAGGCAGATGGAAAGAATAGGGTTGAGTTTCAGAACCAGGTGATCAGGTTAACTTTGTGCACTGTTCTGGAAGCTGCAGTATTCATTTGCACAGCCATCACAACATGTGGCTTTCCCAAAGGAAACTAGTAAGTGAGTAACAGAATGCTTTTGGAGAATGTTGAAGAGTTCATCAGTTGATTTGGTTTACTTATTTTGAGACATAATTTAAATTCAAATCCAAATTAAAGTATGTTTGTATGATATAGAATACTAGTGCATTTCATTACTGCCCACCACCATCAGCTGACATTCGTTATTAAAATGGAAAAATTGCTACTGTGGCAGGAGAAAAAACCTGTCCAGTTACAGACACAAAGGACTAAAGGACAAAGGATACGTGATGATGTAGCAGTTCATTTAGAGAATTCTAGACTGGATGCCTGTAAAGTACAGTGGGAATGAGAAGGCACAATAATGCTTGAGACTCTTTCAAGGCCTTGTTATTTTATGGTTACCTTTCACTGAGAAATGGGATCTGCTCCTTCATATTATATTAAATAAAAAGCCCTAAAGTGTTTCCTGTACATTTTTTTTCTGCATACTGTAGTGACATGTATGGTTTCTAACTGACTGCAAAAAAACTAAAAACCCCCAACCCCAGCACACTGAAAGATGCCTTCTGTTAAATAACAGAAGTGTGTTGACTCACAGGTTCTGGTGACTCTCACGTCACAGAGTGAATGTAGGATTTCTTTTGAATGTTGTGTCTTTGTCCTATTTTGCTTCCAACCAGGAGAGTTGATGGAGGCTGAGGTTCTTTCATGTCTAGCTGCTAGTTTGTATCCATAAAGTCAAGGAGAAAACTTGCACAGAGTCATCCAAGGATCAGGCGGTGACTTTATCTTATTGTACCTGTGCTCTGTTCATATTGCACAGTTAGGGGGCTCTTAAAGGAAGTTACAAACGACAGTAAAATTATTTAATACAATGGCTCCCAAGTTTTAGAAATTAGTGAAAGTGATCCATTGGGAGACTGGAAACCCATTCATTGCATGGACAGCAAATATTTTGTAGTTTACCTTCTGTAACTCACATTTTTACAGTCTATGAACACATCAATCTGGATTGCAGGACACAGAAATACTGAATTAGACAACACAGTGAAATAATGAAATTATTTCAGCCATTTGCTTCCTACTTTTGAAGTAATATGCCCTTCATATAGTTACAAGTAATAACCTTGAACATGGTACAAATGCCCTTACCTTTTGTTACTAGAGCACTGTTGATCACAATAGTTTGTCAAAAAACCCAAAAAACCCTCACCACAAATTTCAGGCATTTATATACTAAAGTGGCTAGTAAAAAGCCTTGGGTAGATAGATTGAAGAGAACACTGTATTTACCAGCAAAACCTTTTGTAGACAGCACTGGCAAACAAAGCCACAGTTTTTAAGCATATATTGAGAAATATCACTTTCATATTTTTGCTCACCAAGAGACAGTTGCTGGAGCAAGTGATTAAAGCAGTAATCACACACAGGAGCACACTGACACTGGGATGTAAAAGCTGATACAGAGCCTCAGATGCAGACAGCCACACCACTGACTCATCATCATGTGAAAGATGTAGTTGCTCAATAAGTAAATGCTACAAAAAAGCCTTCAAGGGGATTTAGAGACCCTCACACCCAGCAGTGAGTTAAATGTGTGTGCAGCTCATACATGGTCAAATTTGTTGAAGAAACAAAGATATCCAAAGACTTCAGTTTGACTTCTCCCAAACTACCCTCGCATCACTCCTTGTTCACCTCTCAATGACTGTCTACAGATGTAATTCACTTGCTGTCTTCTTGTCTGTACATATTCTACCTTCTGTGTAAATCTTACTTTAGATCCTATGGTCGTAACTACAACTTCATTTGGGCTTTTTCTTATGGGCATTCAGGTAATCCTGTTGCACATAGCCCAGTGTATAGCAAGGTACCCTAGGACAGGTTCTGTCACGTCATCACAGCGAGAGGGAAATATGTCTCCTACCACTCCAGGTCCACAATTTTGCAGACTCCACTGGTCCCTGGAATGCTCTTACATGCATGTTCTCCCCAGTCAGAACCCTCTTCCCTCCTCTTCCTCCTGAAACGTCTTTGTGAGCCCAGCTTACACGTTTGTGGTGGAGTGGGTGGTAGAGAAGTTCTCCATGCGCACTCTGGCCAGTTTCTCAGCAGCCGCCGGCCGCAGGAAGAGCTTGCAGGTGAAGACTTGGCGGCAGGCCTTGCGGAAATTCTCCGAGAGGAAAGCGTAAAGGATGGGGTTGATGCAAGAGTTCCCGTAGGCCAAGCAGTGAGAGATGATGCGGAAGGTGAAGGAGATGTTGTTCAGGGGAAAGTGGCCAAACTCTGCCCACATGGTGATGATGTGGTGTGGCAGCCAGGAGAGCAGGAACACAGCAACCACGAGAAGCACTGTCTGCGCTGTCTGGAGAAGAGAGGATCGTGTGTTAAATGGTCACAGTGAGCAAGCAAGTCTGTGGAATGAGTGAGTTTGCTTTCCTCCGTCAGTACTGAAGGCACGTAATACAGACAACATTTCAGGTGGGCAAATCATGACAATATGAAAAAGGATGCTAAAAACCCAGTAAACTTGGACTGATTGGTTCTGGCTCAAGCAAATAACTATAGACAGTTGAGGTAATGCCCATAAAACTTCACACAGTTCAAAGGCTGCAACAATGCTAACTGTTACAAGGAAGAGTGGAAATAATAGTCTCTAACATTTGGAGGGTGAGGAACATTGAGGCTATTGAAAACAACAGCAGGGGAAAACAACTTCCAAGTAAGCACGCCACTGAGAGCAGTAACAAAGGCTTCCCTGAGGACAAAGGTTTTTCCAGTATTGTCCCTATTATGGAAGAAACTCAGAAAACCAATGCATAGAAGATTTTTTTTTTTTAAATACACAGTGCTCATTGGTTAGACACATTCCTAGCTGGGTGATGACCTGAGTGATCCCTGTGCCTGTGGGATCCCAGCCTGTGCTGCCTGGGTTAGACGTGTGTCCCTGCAGTGCTTGCTCCCCACTTAGCTGGCCAGCCTCTGGAACAGTCTGGCATTTGTAAGACCCAAAGCTTGACTTGAGGTAAAATTTTCCTAAAAACAGTGTTCTTTGAAATCTCCATACGAAATGAAGGTTAACAGTGACAGTAAAAAAATTTAAGCTCTAACTCACTTCAACTTTCTTTCTGCAAGACCCCAAGGCCTGTGGGAGCAGGACCACACATTCCAAGTTTAGGAAAGCTGGTAGTGTTGCTTTTCTCTCACTTTCTACTTCTAGAACCCTCAGTGAATGCCTAGCAAGTCTCAGAGATTACTGACTTGGGGTACCCTAAGGTCCTTTCCTTATGTTTTTGTAGGGCTAATTCCACCTGAATTCACAAATTTTCAAAAATACAAATGGTAATACAAAGTGAGAAATTGCTTTGTATTTAATCCCTTAGTTTTGGGGCTCTGTAGCAGATGCACAGCTGGTGACTTCCTTCCCCTTGCCCCACTTGGTTCTCTGCACAATGTCTGCTTTTTAACTTTGGTATTTAGTGTTTCTCATTTCTATTTTGTCATATTAATAAATGTAACAACTTGCAAACAGGCTGATGATATCCTCCCCCTAAGGAAAATTGTTGTACAAGTAGCAGAAAAGCTATGGAGAAAACTTAAAATTCAGGTTTCATTTCAGCTCAAGATTTACAGCCTTACTAGTTTAGGTCAATGTTTCTGTCAATAATTCCCTTGCATGATTTCAAGTGAATAGTGTAAAGTTACTTTCCTAGAAAAAGGATAATTTTCTAGTGAACAGAAATTTGTTTAGTCAGTGGTTATCATGGCTACATTTAGTTAAACCCATTAACCTCTCCAAGGAAGATGTTATTACGTTAGATCAAGACTACAATACAAGTAAAAAAAAGGGATTTCTGTCAAATGGGTCTCTCAAATAAGGTTCTATTAACTTTGAAAGAAAATAACCTGTATGTTCATTGTGTACCTGGCATGCTCCAGGTGCTTCCTTGTTTCACCTACCAGAATGCTGTCAGACAACTGAGCTAACAATGATGTTCCCCTAAGAGTGAACAAACTACCCTGCCAAGTGTCCTCAAACCAGCCATGCTGGGAGCCAGATGATGTCCTTAAAAATAGACTGGAATGATTGTAAGTTGATGACACTGAAAGACACAGACCCAGTGGTCTTGTGGGGTCTGGCTCACCCGCTGTGGTATGATGGGTACCAAAGAAATGATTAATAAACAGGTCCCATCATTAGCTTTCACCAGCAATAATGGTGCTACTTCTTTACCCTCTAGCAATGTTAAGTAGCTTAGGCTTGTTACCCAGGCAACCTTTCATAGCATCCATCTGCTTAAATTAGGGGGCTACAAGCACTGAAATATGCTTTTGAATAAGGCTTATATACCTAGCTTTCCCCCCCTTTTATTGTGAAATAACAAACTGTGCATGTAACGTAGGGCTGAGTATTACACAATGGGTTTGCAGTTGCTGTGTAATAGCACCGAGCTGTTTCTGGGGTCCAGCTTTTTGGGATTTTGCAGATGGAAAACACAGACAATACTAGAGCATTAAGGTATATAATTCATGACTCAAGAAACAGGTTTTGGAAGTGGAACTTGTGTCTATTTTTTCAAGTTAGGGATATGAGTTAAGACAGAGAAAACTGAAAAAAACCACTGTTTGGATTTTAGTGTGGTAACTTTGCTGTAGCTTAAACTGCTGTTAGTGTAGACTGTGACCAGCTGTGAAGGACTGATCCAAATAGTTTGTGTACTGTTTGAGCTTCTTCCATGGGGTGGGATAGTTTGCACAGTTATTGCATTACTGTTGATCAAGCTGTCCCCACTTAATGCAAACCTTCTGGTTCGACTCTGAAATTTTTCTGGGTCCATAATAGACCTGTATAATGGCCACTACTGGCCACTTAAATCTCTCTTACTACTCCTAGAAGCCTTGCAAGCAGCTCCAGGATATAACTTATAGTGTATTTGTTGTACAGGCAAAATAAGTGCATTGAAGCTATACAATGAATCAATAGCATGGTGGCAAAGACAAGGAGATGTTTTTGTTTGTCAGATAATTAGATGAACTTTTGTTCGTTTGTCATGTGCAGATTGTGTTGAATTTCCTTGCTTATTCATTTGTTATCTTTGTAGGTCATCTGCCTCTCACTTATATTTTCCAGCCTTTCTTTGTCTGTTTTGCCCTTTGATTGCTTTTTCTCCTGGCCCTGGACAAGATATTTCTTGCTTTTAGCCTTCCCCCATCCTTCAAAAAGCATTGGAAAATGTGTTTAAAAAACATTTTGGGTGAGATACCTCATTCAGGAGGATGATGAAGTCTTTAACATTTAATTGTGTTTAGAGCTGTTATCCTTGATACGCTTTTAAAGAAGTTTCTTGCTTCAACTTGTCAGGCATCTTGTCAAGGACAAAATTAATATTTCCTGTATTGATTCAAATGCTTCAAGTATTCCATGGATTTACACATTTTAGGAAGAACCACCTGAATGTTAGATTAATAAACATTCCCAAGATTAA